GCTTCCAGCGCCTGGGGGCCCTGCTGGCGGCGCTGCAGCTCCCATGGCTCGCGGTCCGGGATTGGAACGTCACCCCGCAGGTGCTCAGCCAGACGGGCTTCCTGGATCGAATGCATGGGCGGGTGCTCCAGGTTCCTGTGGACTACACATGTGACGTGGGCGCAGGCGCGCTGATCGATTTCACGGTCATGAGCGAGTCTGCCATCCCCTTCGTCGTCGGCTGTCAGGCGGTGCTAGACGTGCCGTGGCGGCCTCACCTGGGTTTGATTATCACGCTCAAAAGCAGTGGCAAGCAGTTGGTTACACGCAGATTGGACTCTCCTGGCCGTCTTCCTCAGCTTCGGCGTCCGCAGGCTCTACCTCAGGAGGGTTCCAAGACCTCCAAGGCCAAGAAGGCCAAGGCCGTGCGGGCTGCCTTGGCGCAGGAGCGTAGGTCTGATTTCTTTCGCACGTTGTTCTCTGAATACCTTTCACAGCCAGGCGATGAGATCAGCACAGCAGTCCCATCAGACGATGAGGATGAAGTCGAGTGCCAATTAGATGACGGATGGCCTGAGGAGGAAGAGGATCCTTGGGGTCACGAGTCGTGTTTCAGTGTTCACCCGCACGCATGTCAGAGCCTTGCGGGTGAGCACACTCATCACAGCAGCAGGAGTGAGTCTGAAAACGGAGCCTCTGTCACATCGTCGGCGTCGCACGGTTCTGAGCCCGTCCGTCTCTCTGATCCTGTGAGCAAGCCCTCTTATGTCCAGGCCAATTCGGGACCTCCCCCCCCTTCTTCCAGCGATGGTGCGCCGCCTCTGGTCACGGAAGCCGCCTTGGAAGACCCGTCCCTTCAGGGTGAACCCGAGTTCTATATTTCGGAAGACTGTTGGAGACAGCATCGTAATAGTGTTTGCACTCTGGAGGTGTCCGAGGATGCCATGCCTCCCTCCTACCTCGCCTCCGTTGCATTTAAGCTCAATCCCAAGCCTGTTTCCACAGTCAGTTCATGGTACTCTGCTTGGGCTCGCGGAGTTGAGCGCACGATCTGTGCTCATCACTGTGTGCCGCTGCCAGCTGGGCCCAGCAGGGGCGACGGCTGCAAGTTCGTGGTTGGGGAGGTGCACCAGTCAGCGAGAGGGCGTACGGCACCGCTGCGGGACCAGGTGGCTTGCTGGCGGAAGCGAGTTGCCACGCTGCTAGCGCAGGCTGGGAGGCACCTCGCTCGCGGCAACGGTGAACGTGAGCGTGGGGCCATCCAGAGGGCTTGCAGGCATCTGGTCTACGAGCGGCCTGCAGGGGTACATCTGCTGCTGCGCCCTGGCAAGGACGCGAGTGACCGCAAGTGGGCGACGGTGCTGCTGAATGTGAGGGATATGGTCGCGCCAGTGCTGCAGTCCTTCCAGGAGCAGGCGGCTCGACTGGCCCGACGAGGGCAGCGGAGGGCCGTCCACGAGTCGCTGTCGGACTTCCAGCAGTGGGTCACTCAGCAGTCTGCGGTGGGGGTCCTGCATCGCAGCATGCGGGAGGAACCGCTCCCGCCGCTCGAAGTTCTGGAGGGGGACATTGCCGTCGTCCACCCGCGGGACATCATCGACGGCAAGTGCAAGCACTGGCAGAAGAAGTGGGCGCCCCACGTCGCCGACGAGACCAAGTTGGCACGTGCATATGATGATGCTCGTGAGGCTGCTCGCGCGGAGCCGCTGGATCCGATCACAGCAGCTGAGGTGCGCGCAGCAGCACGCAAGATGAAGGCCACTACTGGTCTAGGCGCCGATCGGATGACGCCGATCGACGTGGAGCGGCTCCCTGATAGTGCAGTACTGGAGCTTGCAGAGTTGCTCAACCTGATCGAGTGCTCGTTGGCGTGGCCTTTCCAGACACAGCTGATCATCGGCAAGCTTCTGCCGAAGAAGCTGGGCGGCGACCGCGTGATCGGACTGGCGTCGTCTCTAGGGAGGTTGTGGTCCCTCATTCGGGAGGGACATGTTCGTGAGTGGTGTTCGCTTGTTGAGGGCGAGTGGGATGCTGCGATTTGTGGGAATGCCTCCCTCAGGGAGGCTTTCCATCGTACGCTCCAGGAGGAAGTGGCGGGCGTGCTTGGCACGCCCTTCGGGCGCGGCCTCATGGACGTGGAGGGGTTCTACGACGGCATAGAATGGGACATCCTCGTCCAGGTCTCGTTGAAGCTCGGATTCCCTCCCATCATCATGTATCTGGAGCTGTCTCAGTGCATGGCGCCGAGGGCCCTGGAGCAGCAAGGAGCGGCCAGCCAGCCGTTCCCTGCCACGTGCAGCATTATACAGGGCCTTCGGCCAGGCACGCGTTTCGCAAAATGTATGACACACTTTGTCATGGCTAAGGTATGCCAGCAGCATTCGCAGATATCCAGTCGTATTTGGATCGACGATCTTTCTCAAAGTCTGGCTGGGTCGAGGGCTGCAGTACGAGATAGGCTCACGGCTTGCTTGGCCGACACTGCAGCCGAACTAGCTTCGGCCAAGCCCAAGATCGCAGCTAAATCTTGTGTCATTTGCTCGCACCATGGGGATGCTAAAGAAATAGTGCGTCGTCTGAGGAAGCGAGGCTTGGTTGTGAGAGCGCAACTGCAGGCTGGTTTCCTTGGAGTGGATCAGGGTGGCGGTCGTCGCACTGCCCGTGAGGTTCGCACCAAACGTGGACTGAAGCAGCGGCGGCTTCATTCCAAAGTGATTCGTTTTGCGCGGGCTTCAAAAAGATATCACGTCACGGCTCGTCTGGAGAAGATGGGGGCGCAGGCCGCAGGCAATTTCGGTCAGATGGGACCTTCGGCCGACGTCCCCAACAACGTCGCAGAGATTTAGCCGCGGCGTCCTGTTCAAGGGGTAAAGGCATGTGTACCACCACTCTCTTGTCTATTCGTGGCGAATCGGCGGACCCTGGTATTCAGATGCCTCGTGAAGTTTTGAGTTTATGGTTGCATCAATGGTTTACTCGGGCGCAGATTCGGCCAGGGGTATACCGTGCGTGGCCGTTGTTGGTCAGAAGATTCCAGAACACGCCACCATCTCATCGTTCACGGTGGGTCCGCGGTCCGTTGTCGGCCACCATCTTAGCCTTGATTGAGCGCGGCTGGGTACCCGAGCCACCGACATGTCGGCATTTTTCGGACGATATCTCATGGCAATTTCCTGAGGCCGAGTACAACGCAGAGATGGCTCTCAACAATCTTAGTGGCTTCTTCGTCGATTTCGATTATTCTTCTGCTGTTGGATTCTGGGAACGGGCAGCCAAGCATTTCTGTGGGGCTGGCTTGGAGCAGGGAGCAGATCATTTCTCACTGCGGCTTCTGCTTCGGCACCTTCGTCGTCTACCACGTGGGCGGCGACTGGAGGAGCTTCTTGTCTCTATTGCAGCTTGTGGGGCTTGGCCCAGGGCACGGAGGGCTGAGTCCGCCTCCAAGGTCCAGGTCAGCCCGTGGTGCCCGCGGTGCAAGGTCAAGCAGGAAGACGCTTTCCACAGGTACTGGGGATGTGAGCACAACGCAGGTTCTGAGGCTTACGTCAAGTCGGAGGACCTGCTGCCGAAGGCGACGACCCAGCACCAGGCGGACGAGGCTTTCTGGCTGAGGGGTGTCATTCCCAAGGGATGGACCAGTCTGCCGTCACCGCCGTCAGCAGCGGCGTGGACAGGTACAGGCGCTCTACTGAACGGCACGGAGGAGAACAGCCTGGGACCAGGAGCAGAGTATGCGCCCATCGTGATGTTCGGGGACGCTAGCGGGGGGCCCGACTCCCGTGACCCGAGGTTCCGTCGCGCTGGGTGTGGCTTGTCAGTCGTCAAGTCGGAGGCCGACCTGGAGGAGATCGCCACGCTGCAGGGTCCGCTTGTTGGTGAGCAGACCGTGCCGCGCGGAGAGTTGACGATGCTCCTCATGGCTGCGCGTCTGACTAGCGACTTCGCAGTGCATGTGTGTGATAATAAGATGGTGTACGATGGATGGTATGCACAGCGGTACCGCCACCCGCAAGGGGACCTGGCTGAGCTCTGGGCATCCGTGGGCATCGAGTCCAGGAGCGGGACCCCGCCCATTTTGTGGTCCTGTTCGTGAACTCGCACCTCTCTGAGGCGGAGGCCGAGGAGATCGGCACGCCTCTGTGGCTGGTGCGGGGCAACGCGCTGGCCGACAGGTTGGCGGGCGAGGCAGCGAGCGAGGCTCGGCTGCCGCAGGCGGTCAGGGCCAAGGTGCACCAGGTGGAGCACGAGGCGTTCCTCGTGCGAATGCGCCTGCTGAGGGCGTCGCTGGACGCCCTGGCCGCGGAGGAGCTCGAGAAGAAGGCGGGGCGCCAGGGGCGGATGGGTCCGCTCGGAGTTGTGAGTGAAGGAGTCGGGAGCGGTGTTTCCTCCCCCCCTCCTCCTCCTCCTCCTCCCCCTCCGCCTCCCCCTTGTCCTGAGGCCCTGTCTGTTTTTAACACCCAGCACGCGCTCGACGAATCGGGGCGTCGGTGCCGTCGGTGTCGCGGGTCCTCGTCGAGCTCCGAGTTGCGGAAGTGGCGTGCTTCTCCGTGTTTCAGGTTGATTGCTCTTGATGGGTCCCTTCGGGTTCTTCCAAGGGGGGTCGAGCTGCACCTCGCGGGGGGAGTTGTCCATGTCTCGCACAAGATGCGGTTTAATCAGGATGTCCAGGTGTGGTTCTGTGCGTCGTGTGGTATGTTCTGTGATCAGCAGCTCGTTGGGTTAGGAAGAGCCTGCCCTGATCAGGTGACGTCCACCCGAGCTGAGTATCTCGATCGAATTCAGAGAGGTTTATGGCCTAAGGTATATAGTACCAAGGAGAAGGCCAGGCGAGCACAGAAGGGGCTCCCGTGTTGATGTTAAGGGATGTGGACACTGTCCTGGGACTCTTACTCTTACTCCTCCTCGTCCACCTCCTCCTCCCCCTCCGCCTCCTCTGCATGAGCCGCTGCACTCCTGGAGGGCACGAGCGAGCGAGAAGCAGAAGCAGCACCCCCTGGGCTCGAAAGCAGACCCCCCGCGGCCTCCACGGCCGCCGGCGCCGCGTCGGCAGGCGGCGGCGCGGCGGCGGCGCCTGGCCCGCCGCCTCGGGGGCTCGGGGGCGCCCGCCGCGGGGGCAGCTGCGCGGGGCAGCCCGGGGGCTTGCCATCGGTCGGGCGACCACTCCACGTGCATGTTCCGATGTTGTGCGTGACTGTCGTGCTCTGTGACCAAAGATGCTCCTCGATGGTCCCCGCCGCGACAAGCTCACACGTCCGAGCGATGCCAAGCCGGAGGGGCCCCCCCAGCAGGGGCGCCCCCTCGCGTCGCAGGACAAGCACGGAGAGAAGCTCTTGGCAATCTGTGGCCTGCGGGGGGAGGGGGCGTCTGGGGGCCCCTGGCCGTCACCAAATGCGGGGCGCGCCGAAGGCAACTTTGGGCATGGCGGAAACGGGAGGAGCAAGAAAAAACAATTCGCGCACACGCACACACAAATACACACACTCCCACGCATACACACACACACACACACACACACACGCACGCGCACACGCACGCGCACGCGCACGCGCACGCGCACGCGCACGCGCACGCGCACGCGCACGCGCACGCGCACGCGCACGCGCACGCGCACGCGCACGCGCACGCGCACGCGCACGCGCACGCGCACGCACGCGCACGCGCACGCGCACGCGCACGCGCACGCGCACGCGCACGCGCACGCGCACGCACGCGCGCACGCGCACGCGCACGCGCACGCGCACGCGCACGCGCACGCGCACGCGCACGCGCACGCGCACGCGCACGCGCACACGCACACGCACACGCACACGCACACGCACGCACACGCACACGCACACGCACACGCACACGCACACGCACGCGCACGCGCACGCGCACGCGCACGCGCACGCGCACGCACACGCACGCACGCACGCACGCACGCACGCACGCACGCACGCACGCACGCACGCACGCACGCACGCACGCACGCACGCACGCACGCACGCACGCACGCACGCACGCACGCACGCACGCACGCACGCACGCACGCACGCACGCACGCACGCACGCACGCACGCACGCACGCACGCACGCACCCACACACACACACACACACACATACATACATACATACATACATACATACACATACACACACAAAGAAACGAACTACCTAACAGTCCACCACAAGCCACGACCTAACCCGAATACTTACCCAAATTTCGGGTTGGAGGGGTTACGGGTTCCACGCGTTTTTGTTTCAATGTTCCCCGCCGCCCCTCCCACTGGAAATGGAGGGCAAACTGGGCCCCTCGGGCTGGGCTGGGGTGATGTGGGGTGTGGTGAGAAACTGGGGCCCCTCGGGCCGGGTTGGGGTGATGTGGGGTGTGGGGAGAAACCGTGGCCCCTTCCTTCCTTGGCCCGCTCCTTCGTCAGAGGCTGGTGGCCCCGAGTCTCCCCCCCCCGTCTGCGACACGATCTGCTAATGTAATTGGCAAGCTGATCATATTGACTCGGTGCTGACGTCGCTGGATAGAGGGGCCGCGCCTACGGCGGCGCTGCCCAGCGGGTTCGTCGAGAGCAGCACCGACATGAGTGCTTCTGGGGGCTGCTGCGCCATCGGAGGTGCCAGCTGTGGCTGCTGAGCTAGCGGCCAGCCCCCGGACAGCTGGCTGAGCTGCATCCAGCCCGCGGACGACGCCGGCTGCGCCCAGCCGCTGGCAGAGAAGAGAGGGGCGGCGCGAGGGGGCATGGTCGCGCGCTCCCCCGCTGGCCTTCCGACTTGGTCGCTCGTTCTGCCCCAGCCTCCAGTGATCGACCTTCCTCGATTCCTCGATTCAGAACTGTGCGACTCGGGAGGCTCACTCGTCGGAACTGGTCCTCCACCGCATAAGCTTCCACTGGATTCTCGGTTGAGCTGGTAGCTCTGGAATCGGTCTTCGGCGTGGTGACTTGTCCTCACCTCTACGGGGGACTGACAGAAGTCCCGCGGTGGGAAGGGGGAGGAGAGGGCGAGGATTTTTTCGGGAGTGCGGTGGATATGGGGAGGGGGGGAGGGAACCAATGAAGTGAAGGAGGAAGAAGAGTGGGAGCGAGGGAGGGGGGCGGGGAGATGGGAGGAAGGAGGAGGACGAGGACGAGGAGGAGGAGGAGGAAGAGGAGGAGGAAGAGGAATAATCATGAAAGCTTCAAAAAAATTGCACATTGGCCTCTCTCCAATCGCCAGTGCTTCGAGGACACTGCACCTCCGCAGCCTAAGCTCGGGCACGCGATGACATGGATTAGGGATTCCGTGGCTCTGGCGCGCTGGCGCCAGGTCCACGGCTCGGGGAACGTGGCCCTCGAAACAGGGCGCCAGTGCCGCCACATTTGGCGATAGAGCGCGCCGATGTTTAACGAGCGAAGAACGGTGTAAAATACACTTTTTCGCTGTCGGGGGCGCCTGTCCCAGGGCGGCTGGAAAGTTTATACCCTCACGGTGGCACCGTAGGGGTATAAACTTTCCAGCCGCCCAGGAACAGGCGCCCCTGACAGCGAAGAAGTTTATTTTGTACCGTTCTTCGCTCGCTGCGATGTGGTATGGAAGCGGGACCCGTCACTGATCCTCGCGCCTCAGGCCATGTTTGCGCTTCCTCGAGAAAGACCCTGTGTTCCTAGGACCTGCCTCCTGAATGGAGCAACAATGGGATGCGCATACAATTTCTCTGAGGTCCTCGCGGATTGCTTGGATCGGCCCTCCCTGGCGGGCGGAGCGCGCCAGAGAGGGCGCCGGAGGCGCCGCCAAGGGGGCGGGGCGGCGATGGAGGCGCCGCCAAAAGCTCCAACGCTGATCCAAGAAAATCCTCGCGGGAATTCATGCTAAGGCCGCTTCGTGATATTCGACTGGAAAGACCTGCCTCCCTCTCCTCCCTCCTCCTCTTCCTCCCCCTCCTCCTCCTCCTCCTCGCCCGTCGCCCGTCGCCGTCGCTCCGACAGCTCAGTCCTGTTGCTCCTTCTCCTCCTCCCCCTCCTCCCCTCCTCCCCCCCCCTCTTTTGGTCCTCCTCCCCTTCGGCCGTGCCCAGCGGGGCAGGGGGAGCCGCGCCCGCTGCTCTGGCCGCCCGCCTCCTCCTCCTCCGAGTCCGCCTTCGTCCCTTTGTGCGCTTTCTCTTCGCCTCCATCTCCTCGTCCCCTCCGCCCCTCCTCTTCCATCCCTGCTTCCCCTCCTCCTCGTCCCCCGTCCCTCGTCCCTCCCATCGCCACTCTTCCCACTCTCGCCCCTCCCCCACAGATACTGAAGACGAATACTGCCCTCCTCTCTCTCTCTCTCTCTCTCTCTTTTCTCTCTCTCTCTCTCTCTCTCTCTCTCCCGAAGACGACCGGGGAGTAGCGTGACCCCCACCGCGCATGGCTTTTCCACCACACAGGAATGTGCCAGGTTGATTTTCTTATAGCTGTTCCAGTCCACACGTTCTCGGTCCTCACAAGATGGTGCTCCCGCTGCAGCGTAGGCCTCATCTCAGGATCGGGGCCAGCCCCCGCCATTCAGAGCGGCGCTTTCGCCCCAGCGCGGGCGGGCCACTTTTATGGATCCGAATAGTTTCTCGTCGTTGTCGTCCCCTCCTTCCCCCCTCCTCCGCCTTCCCCTGGTCCTCCTGCTCCTCCCGCTCCTTCCACTCCTGATCCTGCTGCCGCTGTTCGTCCTCGTCCTCCGCCCTCTTCGCCACCCTTTTCCTCCTGCTCACCCTCCTGCTCATCCGTCATCTCCTCATCCTCTCATGTGCGCAGCTGAGGTGTTCTTATTGCGCTCAGTGATGTGGGGTCTGTCTCGAAGTCCAAGTCCGTCATGACACGCGTCCGCGGATACAGAGAAAACAACCGCGCAATGGGAATGGATGGGTGCGAGGGGTAGGAGTTCAGTCATGGCGCGAGCGCACCTGGCTTGCCTCCCTCCCCTCCCCCCACTCCTCGTCCCTCCCCGCCATGCCGCCCTGGCTTGCCTCCTTCCTCTCTCCCTGCTCCTCGTCCCTACTCCGCGTCCCTCCTCGCCTCTCCGCGTCCCTCGCTTCTCAACCCCCCGTCCCTCCTCGCCCCATCGCCCCTCCTCCACCTCTGCTCCCTCCCTCCTCGCCCCTCGCCCCTCCTCCACCTCTCCCCCCTCCTCCTCATTCGCCCCCCCCCCCCCCCTCTCCTCCCTCCTCCGCATTCCCTCCCTTCTCCCTCATCCTCCCTCATCCTCTTTCCGCCCCCCCCCTCCCCCGCAGATGCTTCCCCAGACACGCGATGCTTTGATGCGTTCCCTGTGCGGCCCCCGAAAAAGTCCCGACCCCCGCCCCATGGCCGCTGTTCGATCCCGAACCGTTGCTGTCGACAGCCCCGAGGCCTGGCGAGGGCCCACGGAGGCCGAGCACACGGCAAAACAGACTGGCCGTTTTTTTCCACGACGCGAGCACGTCTGGATATTGAGCCCCCCCCCCCGCTCCCCCGCCCTGAGGCAGGCTCGTGTCGTGACGACACACAGAGGAGGAAAAGGTACCCATTCTACTACGCTTGGACCGTTTCCCCCTTTTCGGCTCCCTGGGAGGCCCTCGTTGCAACCGCTGGATTCGCCTCGAAATTATTCTGGTCAGAGCGCACCCCAGGAGAGGGCCGGGGAGTAGCAGTATCGGTACCTCTTAGTTTCCCCAATACGAATTGGTTTCTGACACCGCGTGGATCGTTCAACCTTGAACGATCGGGGCACTACGAAAGTGCAGATCGCTGGAGGCGCTTGACTCTCAACGCCCGCGGTGTGGTCGTCGCCGAGTCGGCACGACACAAACCTACCCTATTCCTGGACAGCATGCACAATCCCCACCCCAACCGGGGAAACCTTGGCCCCGCTGGTCAACCTACCCCCCCAGCTGGGGGTGGGTGCCGCCACCGTCGGGTTTTGAAGCACCCTTCCCACCTAGAGGGGGGGTACGCTGGTAGAGCCAACTGACCCTGCCCTGGTACAGTCGGGGCGTTGACCTAAGGAACCCTAAATAAGGAACGGGGGCTCTTTTTCCCATACGTTACACTTCGATCTCCCATGGAAAACCTAATGAAAACCTAAGGCAAGCTGTAGAACAATCAAGGAACACCGAGCCCCTCCCCATTGAAAAAGGTTCCTCTTTCAGCGCCCCGACTGTAGAGCCAACTTACCCTGCCCTGGTATGGGTGAGGATGGTTCTGAGGATGGTTGAAGGGGCCTCAGGACACACACATAAATACACAATAGTAACAACAAATCACAATATTTTCCCATATTTTCTGGGTTTTTGCCTTCCCCCCCACCTCCCATATTTTTCCATATTTTCTGGGGAATCGACGATTAATTGTGTCTGTGTGTTTCTTTCCCTCCTGAATGGTGACTGTCAGCTCCCGCGCCTGGTCACGCCCCAGGGAGAGGGCGCCGACTGGCACCCGCACGGCGCCACGCACCGCACGCAGGCGCAGCAGGGCCCTGCGCGCCGCAGGGGGGGCGCCGCGCTCGCGGCGGGGAGGTCGAGGAGGACGGGGAGGCGGTCGAGGTGGAGGGGGAGGAGGAGAGGAGGAGGGGAGGCGGAGGAGAGGAGGAGGAGGAGAGGAGGAGGAGGAGGAGGAGGAGGAGGAGGAGAGGAGGAGAGGGGGAGGAGGACGAGGAGGAGGAGGAGGATGAGGAGGAGGACCAGTGTAGACCCGAGAGCCATCAAAGATGTTGGAATAAACCCTGCCTCTAAGCTCCCTCTCCATAGGCCCCATACAACGTATCGTTTCCATTGAGGGAATTACCTCGTTGGAAGACAACCGTTTGAAGATCCGGAAGAATGCCAGAACATTGTCCTCGGGATGTCAACGCTACTGACCAACCTGGCTGGTGCGTCTTGACGATCCGGAAACCTGCAATACTGCCATTTTTGGGACTTCGACACCGCGAACCAACATACATGTTGCACCCGCATAGTCGTGAATCCGTCCAAAACACCACGTCTGGTACGTTGACCATGGGAATCCGTGAAACTCTTCAAATTCATTGTTTAACGAATGTGCGCGTCGCTAAAGCGAGAACCACATTTTGAAAACGACCCGCCCTCAATCCGTGTAACTCTTCAAATGTTTAAAAAAAATGCGAGCGGCGCAAAAGCGAGAACCACATGTTGAAAACGACCCGCCCTCAATCCGTGAAACTCTTGCAACTGTTTAAAAATAATGTGCGCGGCGCTAAAGCGAGAACCACATGTTGAAAACGGCCCGCCCTCAATCCGTGAAAATCTTGCAAATGATGAAAACGGATGTGCGCGGCGCTAAGGCGAGAACAACATGTTGAAAACGGCCCGCCCTCAATCCGAGAAACTATTTGCGAAACTTTAGAACGCATGTGCGCGGCGCTAAGGCGAGAACCACATTCTGACAAAGGCCGCCCGTCCTCAATCCGCAAAAATCTTGATTTTAGAACGCATGTGCGCGGCGCTAAGGTGAGAACCACATTTTGACAAAGGCCGCCCGTCCTCAATCCGCAAAAATCTTGAATTTGTTTAAGCGACTGTGCGCGGCGCTAAGTCGAGAGCCACATTTTGAAAACCACCCGCCCTCCATCTGTGAAGCCGTTGACTTCTTGAGCGTCAGAATCATACATGATGAGGAAGTCTCAGGCGAAACGCCCGGCCCGCCCTGAAAACTGGCCTCGGGGTGCGACGGGGAGAAGTTATTTGGAGGGAAAAGAAATGGAGGAGTGGGAGGAGGAGGATCGCTGGGGAGTGTCGCGGTCGATCGGGTAACCTAATAACCAGGAGGAGGCGCAGGCGCCCCGAAGATCTCGCAACCGAGCTTCGCCACACGGGCCGACCCCGTGCCAGGCTCAAAACGGCCAAGCCCTTCTGGCCCTCAGAAGCGCCGGCTTGTGGTCGGATCTCTTCCCCTCCACGGTGGCGGCCAGGAGGTACCCCGACACCGAGCCCGAGGAGGAAAGCGAGGCGGAGGCCGGGGGGGGGTGAAGGGGGGAGGACGAGGAGCCGAGGCCGCCCGAACTGGTGCCAGCGAAGATCGGGTCGGATGATGCCGCCGCATCGCCGATGAAGCGGCGATGCAGCGCGAACCTCCGACCTCAGATACTCCGTCCCCATGTGCGCGGCCTGAAGACTTGCCGTCGCTCGGACGTCCATTCCCCGTGCATGTTTCGGTTTCGTGCGTGCTTTGTCGCAGGATGGTCCAGGCTGCTCCTTCAGAATCCCCGCCGAGAAGAAGTGCACACGTCCGAGCGATACCAAGGGAGAAGGGAGAGGAGGGGGGATTTGTCGCAGTTGTTGCTGCTGTTCTGTTTCGAGCCCCTCGTCGCCACGGCCAGATTCGCCACGACGCGCTCTGGGACCCCAAGGCAGGCCTGGGGGAATACCTCCAGCGACCAGAACACTTCTTGATCCGAAGATATTTGGGGCGTCCTCGGGCCGCAAATGCCACCCGCGGCGAAGAGACCAATCCTGAGGATCGGCGGCGAGCGAGGGGGGGAAGCGATAAGTAAGGATAAGGCCCTCTCAGAAAGCAGCGGGGCTTCTCAGGAGCCCACAGCTGCGGCGCATACGAGTGCTCTGCGGGCGCGCTGTCGGGCCTGCGCTACGATGGCGCCCCAGACTTCGGCCCCGAGGGGCCGCGCCCGCCGGAACCTCGTACCTCCCGGCAGAAACTTGGCGGCGAGCGAGGGGGGCCAGTGAGCAGGAGAATGCCTTCTCAGCCAGCGGGGCTTCTCGGAGGCCCTCGCGCCTTCTGAGAAGCGTTTTGGTGTCTGCGGGGAATGCTCAGAAACGTTCTGAAGGCCCGAGGGACTTCCGAGCCGTCTGAGAAGGCCCGCCCCCTCTCACGTCCCCCACGGGCTGGCCGCCGAGAAACCGGTGGCCCTCTGGCAGAAGCCCCGCCACAGGGCGGACGAGGAGGAGGCCAAGGCGTGGGGGGAGCATCGGACGCTGCGGTCACAGCAGGCCCATTCTCTCGGGAAACCAACGCGTGCCGATACCACTGCTCCCCGGACCTCTCCAGGGGGCGTTCCAACCAGAATTTCGGCGCGACGCCAGCGGTGGCGACGAGAGCCCCCGAAGAGGCCCGGGAAAGGGACAACGAGAGAAATAGTGGCACGGGTTGCCCTCCTCCGAAGGCTTTCCTGACGTCAGGCATGGGATTGAGCAGGGAGGCGAGGCGGGGCGGGGCGGGGCGGAGGCTCGGGTCGGGCGAACGGGGGGGATAGCAAAGGGGGGGTGGGTGAGAATCAGCTCACTGGTAGCTGATTCTCCCGGCGCCTCCCGGCGCCGGAGGCGGCCATGCATCGAGGAAAACGGGCCCCTCGGTGCGGCCGAAACCAGCTGCATGCAGCAAATTTCGCACCCCCCCCTTTCCCAAACCCCCCCTTTCGCCCGACCGATCCCCCCCCTCCCCTCCTCCTCCTCCTCCTCCTCCTCCTCCTCCTTCTCCTCCTCCTCCTCCTCCTCCTCCTCCTCCCCTTTCCCAATGCCCCCCTTTCGTCCGGCCCGAGAGGCGGGGCGGAGCGGGGCGGAGGCTGGCGCAGGAACCGCGCGCGCTGGGCCGGGCCCTCGAGGCGGCCCCGGCCGCAGCGAGGAGGGCGCGGCGAGGAGGGCGCCGCAGGAGGCCCCATGGCGGGCCCGAGGGGCACCCTCTGCTCGGCGGCGAGCCGCGGGGGGGGGCAGCGCGGAGGGGCGCGGGCCTCCTCAGGAGGCGATCGGAGGTCCCCCCCGGCCCCCGGAGGGGCTCTCGAGGCCCCCCCCGAAGGCAAGGGAAAAACCTCTCTCCAAGACGGGGGGGCTTCCAGGAGGCCCCGCCGCCTGCTGACAAGGCCTCCTCCGCCTCGCCTGCCCCCCCCTGGAAGTCGCCGCCGCTCTGCGGCCAGGGGCGCCCTCTTTGTCTGCACGCGGTGCGAGGCCTCCCCCGTCGGCCACGAGCAGCGAGGCGCCGCTGTCCCGACCCGCGCGTCTGGCGGTCGGGGCGCCGATTCCGCGGCGAGCGCCGCTGCCCGCCGCCGCGCCCCCTTGGCACGCCGAGGCGTGGTCAGGGGTGCCAGGTGCTGCCTGGCAGGGCCCCTGCAGTCTCCCAAAGGGCCCCCGACCCCCGTCGCACTTCGCTGCGCCCCCCCGTGGCCCCTTTCCCCCCCCCCCCTTCCCTTCCCTTCCCCTCGTGAGCACACTGGGCCCGCGCTCCCGAGGGCACGATCCTTCGCAAAAACCGTTGGGTCCGCGCCCTCGTGGCCACGATCACTGGCAGCAAACAATGGATCCGCGCTCCCAGGATTCCAAGCCATCCGAGGCAGGCAGCTTTGGCAGCCAAGATGACCCAAGATGCAGGCAAAACTGCAAAGAGGGCCCACGATTTCTCAGGAGAGTCCCAAAACGGCCCAGAGCGTTCCAAGATGACCCAGAGTGGGCTACCGGACTCTGAAGACTGACCTACAGGAGCCTTAGATAGCCGCACGATGGCCCAAGTGAGCTCCATGAAAGCTCCTCAAGAAATGGAGACGAATGGAGACACATGTATCGGCCGTCCTCTTCCTCCAACTCCTCACCACCACCACCACCACTCATCGTCTCATCATTATCATGGTAATAATGTAGTTATTCCATATCCTCGTCCTCCGCCGCCTCCTCCTCCATCATCATGATCACCATCATCATCATCATCATCATCATCATCAGCAGCAGCAGCATCATCAACATCATCATCATCACAATCACCATCATCACAATCATCATCATCATGATCATCATCATCATCATCGTCATCATCATCATCATCATTATCAGCAGCAGCGTCGCCATCATCATCGTCGCAATCATCACCATCGCCATCGTCTACGTCGTCACCATCGCCACCACCAGTTCGATCATGTTCATCATCATGTTCATCAACATCGTCGTCGGCGCCGTGATCCTCGTCAGCATCATAGCCACAAAAAGCATCATAATCATCATCACATCATCCCCACAATCAGACTTAGCACCATCAACACCACCATCGGCTTCATCATCATTACCGTCATCATCATCAGCAGCAACATCATCATCATCATCATCGTCATCGACAGCAATATCATCATCAACAACTACATGGTCATCATCATTATCGTCGTCATCATCATCATCATCAACATTGTCATCGTCTCCATCATCATCGACATCGTCACCACCTCCAACACCGTCAATACATCAACTCCTCATCGCCATCACCATATCCTTCGCCATCAACATAATCCCCATTATAAGCAACAGCATCAACATCATCAACATCATCAGCATCATTAACGTCACCATCATCATCATCATCTTCATCTTCATCATCATCATCATCATCATCATCATCTTCAACATAACAACCAACCAATCGCCACCATCATCATCATAACCACCATCAACCAACAACCAACCACCGACCCATCATGATCATCGTCGTCTTCAACATCGTCATCATCGTCACCATCATCATCACCACCAGTGCCATCATGCTCGTCAACTGTATGATCACCATCGTCGTCGTGAACGTTATGATCACAATAACCGCAACAACCATTGTCATTACATCAACACCAGCATCATAATCATCACCATCAACATTATGACCGTCGGTATCATCATCATCAGCATCATCATCATCATCACCATTAGCATCACCCCACCACCATCAGCATTATCACCATCAGAACATTAACTTTCTCATCACTCACCATCACCAACACCATCGTGTCCGCCATCATGATCATAATCATCAGACTCATCATCATAATCATCATTATCAGCATGATCATTCTCATCAGCAGCATCATCGTCGTCGCTATCATCATCATCACCAGCAGCATCACCATCATCATAATCATCATTATCGTCATCAACATCATGCTCACCGTCGGTATCGTCTCCACCATCATCAACATAATAAGCAGCAGCATCATCATCAGCATCATCATAACCATCAACCCTCCTCCACCACGCAACAATCATGATCGTCGTCGACGTCGTAGGCATCGTCATCTTCATCGTCACCGTCGTCACCATACAGATTTTCAAATCCATGTTCAACACCGGCCTTGCCGCAGGCAACTGGGGTATCGGTCGCGGGACATCTCTTGGGCAGCACTTCCGGCTGCCGCCCGCCTGCAAAGCTGCGGGGACCGCAGAATTCATGATGCTCCCTCGCGCCAAATCACGCGCCGCCGAGGGCCCTCAGCGCGCCGCCGTGGGAGCCCCCCCTGTTCTTCTTCGTGGCCACCTGGGCAGCCGTGAGGCCCGAGGAGTTCTTCTGGGACGGGTCGGCGCCCTCCGCCAGCAAGTACTCCTGGGGGCAACCAAACGGTACCCTTCCCGCCACTCCACGGGCCTGTCCCGGGGTGCGTTCCGACCAGGACTTCGAGGCGAACCCAGCCGTGGCGACGAGGGCCTCCCAGGAGGCCATCAGAGGCAAAACTATAGCCGGGCTGCTGAAGTAAGGGACGGTAAAGCAGGAGGGAAGCTCCTGTTCGGCACCAGAAGAGCCCGGGTGCCCGAGGAGGGCCAGGAGGGGCCACCGCAGCCTGACCCAAGGAACAGCGAGCCCCCTCCGGACCCCAAGCGGTCCCCTTGGTTTCGGCGCCTTTGCCCGCGCGAGGCCGGGGTGGGCGGCGTCGGTGCCTTTTCCTCCTCTGAGCTCCACCATCTGGCCGTTCCCCAGCTCGGCGGCGCGGTGCAGCGGGTAGCTCTTCTGGAGCAGCCTGCGCCTCGGGGCGCTCACGCCCGCGAAGCCCTCCGCCTTCAGGAAGGCCCCCACCTGCGCGCGCCGCTCCTGCGCCGCCAGCGCCTCCGCCCGCTCGCGGCGCTCTCGCTCCGCGAGTTCCGCCTCTCTGGGGCGACTGGGCATCGTTGAACCGACCCCGATGCCCACGGGCGTGGCCCGGGCCCCACTGGCCGAGTTACCCCCCCAAGAAGGGGGTATGGGGCGTTCGAGGGGCACATCCCCAACTGGGGTGGTGGGATGGTGAGGATCTGGATGGGGATGAAGATGGGGATAGGGATAAGTTGAACCGATATGAGGCTGACGGACAAAATCCTGCACCGCCATCGCGACCAGGGTGCTGGCGCGAACTTCAACGCGCCCCCCCAGACCCCAGTTCCATGCTGCTTGGCCTCGCCAGCGGGGTGCAGGATTTCGCCCACTCACTGGACAGATCCACATATCGCGGCGCAACCCGCCAATATCAAATGCGGGGCGCGGGGGGGATCACACACAAATCAGCATGGAAGGTGCAGGATTTTGCCCATCCACCATACCGCCGCTCCCCGAACCTCTCCCATGGGTGCGCTCTTGGAGGCCTCCCGGATAGGGTCGGAGGAGATGGGGTCGGAGGATCGCGCCGCATTGTCGGCACAACGCCGATGCATCGGCGTCGTCGGCGATGCATCGGCGACTTCGGGTTGGAGAGAAACGGGCTCCACATCGAGCCGCATCGCCGATGCACTGGCGATGCAGCGCTGTCCTCCGACCCCATCTACTGCGAACCCGTCGGTTGCGGCATGTACATCTGTGTCTCTCTCTCTCTTCTACGTTCTACGGGCACAAGCAATGGCATAAAGACGCAAGCTCTGAGGTCAACGCAGATCCCCGCGGATCGGCGCCGGGGTTCCCTGGCGGCGCCTCCGGCGCCGCCCCTGGCGCGCCCCCGGGGTTCAGCGAGAACTCCGAGCGGGCCTCCGAGTTTCTCTGTATGCTCCTGTCCCTGCTTGCTCCCCGACCTCCCTCCCCCTGACATCGTCGCGGGCCGCCGCCCCCGTGCGCCAGCGGGCCTGCTCCTCCTCGAGGCGCGCGAGGCGGCGCCGCTCCTCCTCCTCCTCCTCCTCCTCGGCGCGGCGCAGTTCCGCGCGGCGCCGCTCCTCCTCCTCCTCCTCCGCCCTGCGGCGCTCGTCCTCCTCGGCGCGGCGCTGGGCCTTGTTGACGGGGGGGCGACGGATGCGCCGATGACACCAGCGACAACGCTGACGGCGACGACCATGGCTTAACGGGGGGCAGAAGGGTGCACCTCGTGCGCCCTAAAGGGGCCCAAAAGGCGCACGAACGGTGCACGTCTCCCCCCTCCCCCTCTCCCAAAGTATCGCCCCCCCATCCCGCAGCGCCCGACCACGTCTCGATTTCTCCGAGCCGGGCGCGTTCGCCCGCACGCGGGCCCCGGGGGAACCCTCACAGATCGACGCGGCTCGAAGGAGGGCGCAGGAAATCAAGGGGCTGCGGGGCTCTGGTCGTTCATGCTCCTTGATGCCCCAATTTTCCCGCGACGTCGGATCCCAGGGCATTCCCTCGGGGAGCCTCATGGGCAATGTTAGGGATGGGGTAGGCTCACGGGGGCAATGGCCCCCAGTCGTCCACTGATCGCCGATGAGGGCCTGATAGCCCACCCCGCCCAGGAACGTGCGGATTCGGGGCCTCTCGCCGATCCATCGACGATGCCTCGAGTTTCTCGCGATGTCGGATCTCTGGGCCTTGGCGGCGCGCACAAAGGGGCTGGAGGAAGGGGGGAGGGAGAGCTTATTAGAAGGAGGCTGCTTCCTAGAAGGCGCAGGCCTTACGTCTACAGATAAGTGCCCACGCCTTCCAAGAAGTAGGGGTGCCTCTAAGAAGCCCTCCCCCCTTCCCCCGCCCCCCTCTGCGCGTGACTGACAACTTCGCACCCCTGTGCGCATGGATGATAATTTTCTTGCGACGTCGGATCTCCCCTTAGCCTTAGACCCCTAACCTCTTGGGAGCGGACCTCAGCTAAGAGGCCCAAAACATTGGGATAGGGGGTCCTCTCAGCAACGTCTTCATTGTGATATTAGGGTCAGGGCTTCTTTCATGAGGGAAACCAGACAGGTACGGATACCGCTACTCCCCCGGACCTCTCCCAGGGTGCGTTCCGACCAAGACTTCGAGGCGAATCCAGCGGAGGCGACGAGGGCCTCCCGGGTGGCCCATGGACGGGCGAGAACGAGGCGAAGGTAGCCGCATGGGTACTTTTCCTCCTCCGAGTGAGGTGCCCTCGATACTCCGGGCCTCCTGCTCCTCCTGCTCCGCCGCCGCCCGGTCGAGCTCCCGCTCCGCGCCCGGGGACTCGTGCCCGGCTGGCGCCGGGCCCGCCAGGCCCAGCGGGAGGTCGATGCGGACCGTGTCCGTCGCGGGGTCGCGGCCGCCGCAGACGCGCTCGCAGGAGAAGAACATCGGTGGCAACGATGGGTAAGACAAAGCCAGTACGAGGACCAAATTCGAGTGAGGATACATCGGGAATCCCTGAGACCCAGCGGCTCTGGAGGATGTATCGGGCGTCGCGGCCTTCTCAGAACATTCTGGAACGCTCTGAGAGCGTTCCAGAACGCTCTGAACGGATTAATCCTCGTCCTAGCCCCGTCCGAAAAAGAAGGGGCGGGAGGCGCGCGGGGGGGCGGTATTGGGCCAAGAGAGCTGTTGAGCCAGCCGAGGCAGGAACGCGTGTGGCGGCCACCGCAGACGCGCTCGCAGGAGGAGAGTATGGCGGCCAGGAGGGCGGGGGGGCGCCGAGTCGGGGTCTTTTGTGGGCGCAGCCTTCGGACCGCTCGGCCCCTTCCTCGGGGGCTGTCACCTCGACAACCTTTCTTGACGGCCCCGGGTGGTCCTGGAAACCGTTGTCGGGCGCTTGACATCTGCCGCCCTCTGCCTGCTGCAGGGGGAGAAAAGGCGCGTGAAACATGTGGCGGTCCCCCTTCCCCCTTTCCCCCTCCCCAGGGGTCCAAAATCCCGTTTCAGGGGGGGGGGGAGAGGGGGGGGGGGCGTACGAGCTTGTCAACGCACCCCGGGAGCTCTCCAGAGTCTCCAGAGAGCCCCCAAGAGAGCCCAAGCAAGGCGCCGAGGCAGTCCAGGAGAGCGTCGAGACGGCCCAGGGTAACCCCGCGTGACAGTCCAAGATGGCTTCAAGACAGCCCACGAGGCCCCCCCAGGACGGCCGAAGAGTGCTCCCCGAGGACAGCCGAGAGGGCCACAAGACGCAAACATCGTCCCACTCCCGCAAGAGAACGTACATGTTCGACAGATCCGCCTTCTTCGTCCTTACAGCGTCCAATACGGCCCAGGGCCCCCCCAAGATCGCCCCAAGGCGGCCCATGAGGCCCTCAAGAGGGCGCCAAGACGGCCCGATACAGCCCCAAGACGGCCCATGATGGCCACAAAATGCCTCCAAAAGACCCCCAAGAGGCCCCCGAAAGCTAGCCAAATGCCCCCCGAAGCTATCCAAAAGACCCCTGAGAGACATTCCAAGGGACCCTCATATCCATCCTAGAAACTCGTCCGCAAAGCTCGCAACCAGCCCCAGGAGCCCATCAAGCACGACAAACTGCTCCCCTGGGCCCTCATTCGGAGGCGTCCCGGAAGCCGTCAAGCAGCCCCGTGACAAAACCCAACATCCCCCCATGCACCCCTGAATTCCTTCCTTGCTCCCTCTGTCCTCATCCTTCCCACCTCCGCTCCTCCTTCTCCTCCTCCTCCTCCTCCTCCTCCTCGTGCTCCTCCTCGTGCTCCTCCTCCTCGTGCTCCTCCTCCTCCTCCTCGCCCTTAGTCTCATCCTCATCCTCTCCTCCGTCTCCTCCACCCTCCCAGGCGAGAACCAAAACACCCAGCCACTCCAGCTCCAACATAGCCTGCCGAACGCCTCTAACATCTTTTCTCCGCTGGGGGTCGGCGGAATGACGTAAGCAACTTGACGAATGACCAAGTGCTGGCGCGTGGTTCTTCTCGATTCCCCGAAGTCCCTCCTGCTATCCTCCCTCCTAGACGCGGCCCTGCCGAGCCTCCTGACGCTGCAGCCCCCCTCCACAACTGGTCGTGTACGCGGGGCTGATTTCGAGTGGCTCGCTGGCGGCCGCCTCCTCCTCCTCCTGCTGCTGATTCTCCTCCTCCTCGTCTTCGTCACAATCACTATCATCCAATCACCACTAGCACCTTATCACTCATCACCACCAGCAACATAAAATCCCCCCTACCCTCAAATCCGACGGTAATGAAACAAAACTCGCCGGCCCAACGGGCCAAGGGCGTGCTAAGATCTCCGGTAACTGGTTAACAATACGCGCGCGGGGCCGCCCCTGGGGGTCCCCGGACGAAAAGTACCCCAGCAAGATTCGGGGCAGGTCCCGGCAAAGTCCCGGGCAGGTCGCGGGCAGGTCCCGGCAAGGTCCCAGACAGGTCCCGGCGAGGTCCGGGCCAGGTCCCAGCAGGCTCCCAAGAGCGCTTCAAGTGACCTCCAAGAGAGCTCAACATGGTCCGAGACGGTTCAAGAGCGATCCAAGACGCTAGAGATGGCCTCCAGACAGCCTGAAGCGCCTTCAAGACGCCCCAAGAGGCCTCTAAGAGACCTCCCAAAAAGGGCCCACAGAGACAGAATTTCGTGATTTTCCTTTAGTTTTTTGAAGGTTTTTTGGCGTTCTCGCCTGCTCAGCTTACCCGCGCTTCAAGACGGCCCAAGAGGCTTCCAGGATCGCCCCAACATGGCCCTCGAGGCCTCCCAAAGCGCCCAAAACAGCCACAGAGGGCCCCAAGACAGCCCCAGAGGCCTCCAGGATGGCCGAAGGGGTTCCAAAGACGGCTCCAAGAGCGGACCCAGACGAGAGACCCGAACGGACATTTCGAGCTCTAGGCGCAGAGAGGTCCCCTGGAGGCCCCAAGAGGTCCCAAGAAGCACCCGAGAGGCCCCAAGAGACCCCCAAGAGGCCACCGTGACGCCCCCGGAGGTCATAGAACCACTGCCAAGAGGCTCAAAAAGAGGCTCCAAGAGGCCCCCAAAATGCCCTAAGAGGCCACGAACGCGCAGGCAAACGCCTGCGATGGCACAATACGGGCCGGTGGAGTGAGCGAAGCGATTCAAGAGAAGCAGCCAGAGCCCCAGACCCAATCTTTCGGCGCCATGTTTCGAAACGTATCGATCTGTGAGGGCCCCAAGACCCGAAAGTGGGCGAGAATGTCCAGCTCGAAAAAAATGAGACCCCAGGATCTCAGGGTCCTCCTCCTCCTCCTCCTCCTCCTCTTGGGCATGCTGCGGGAGCGTACGTTCGAGGCGTCAGTCGGCTGGCGCTGCCCGCCCGCCGTCGCCGCGCCCCCCCGCCACTCATCTTCTCATCACTATCAAGTCATGTGTCTATGTCTCCTCCTCCTCGTCCTCCTCCGCCTCCTCCTCCTCAGCGCCATCATCCCCGTCACCACCGTCATCATCATCATCATCATCATCATCATCATCATCATCATCATCACCATCATCATCAGCATCATCATCGCCATCATCAGCATCATCATCAGCAGCATTGGCATTGGCATTGGCATTGGCATTGGCACTGGCATTGGCATCAGTATCAGCATCATCATCATCATCATCATTGTCATCATCATCATCATCATCATCAGCATCAGCATCAGCATCATCATCATCATCATCATCATCATCATCATCATCATCATTATCAGCATCATCATCAGTAGCAGCAGCACCACCACCGTCGACATCGTCATCGTCATCATCATCATCACCATAATCATCATCATGATCATCATGATCATCCTCATCATAAGAATCAGCATACGCATCATCATCAGCATCATCGTCATCATCACAAGCATCATCATCATCACTAACCGCATCGTTATCATCGGCGTCACCATCGTCATACCATCACTGCCATTTCATTATGATGATCCACATAATCATCATCAACATCATCATCATCTTCATCATCAGTGTCGTCACATACTGATCAACATCATCACCACCATGATCACCACCATCAACCCACCAACACCCTGGTCATGATAATTTGCTCACCACCATCACGATCATGCCCATCACCATAACCACCTACCATCCGTCATCACGCAACAATGATGAACGTCGTCGTCGCCAGCATCCCAGCATCGGCATCATCGTCATCGTCACCATCATGATCATTATGATCACTACCTTCATGATCACCGTTGTGGTCTTCGTCTTCGTGATCGTTGCCATCACCATGACCACCACAACCATCATCACCACCAACATAGTCGTCGCAAGCAACATCTGCATCTTAATAATATGCATCGTCATCATCATCAGTATCATCATCATCATCATCATCATCATCATCATCATGGTCAGCATGATGATCATCAGCGTTAACATCACGAGCAGCATCATCACCAACAGCATCAACATCATCAGCAACATCAAACTCATCATCCTCATCATCATTCTTATCAGCAGAAGCAGCATCGCCACCCTTGTCATCAGCATCATGACCACCACCATCATCACCACCATCAAAACATCAACATCATCATCATCACCACCATCGCCATCGTCTCCGCCATCATCACTATCAACATCAGCATCAACGTAACCATCAGCATCAACACCAACGTCAACATTTAAATCAATATCGCCATCATCAACGACACCACCATCATTACCGACATCATCATTAACATCATCATCACAACCATCAACTACCCGTCTCCATGCAACAATCACGATCGTCGTCGTCGTCGTCGGCATCGTCATCATCGATCTCGTCGTCGTTATCACATTCATTTTCCAATTAATTCCCAACACCGGCCTTGCCGCAGGCAACTGGGGTATCGGTCGCGGGACATCTCTCGGGCAGCACTTCCGGCTGCCGCCCGCCTGCAAAGCTGCGGGGACCGCAGAATTCATGATGCTCCCTCGCGCCAAATCACGCGCCGCCGAGGGCCCTCAGCGCGCCGCCGTGGGAGTCTCCCCTGTTCTTCTTCGTGGCCACCTGGGCAGCCGTGAGGCCCGAGGAGTTCTTCTGGGACGGGTCGGCGCCCTCCGCCAGCAAGTACTCCTGGGGGCAACCAAACGGTACCCTTCCCGCCACTCCACGGGCCTCTCCCGGGGGGCGTTCCGACCAGGACTTCGAGGCGAATCAGGCCGTGGCGACGAGGGCCTCCCAGGAGGCCACAAGAGGCGGAACCACAATTGGGCTGCTGAAATCCGCCGCCCCCCGCTTGCTGGGGGTGAAAAGGCTTGTGAAACATTTGGCTGCCCCCCTCCCCCTGCGCCAGATGTGGCAGAAGGCCTGATGGCATGGCGCGCCCGCGCGAAGCGCTTCTGCCTTCAGCCACTATAGCTGTGCGCAAAGCGCTTCTGCCTTCAGCCACTATAGCTGTTCAGCCACCTTCTTCCTCCTCCTCCTCCTCCTCCTCCTCCTCCTCCTCCTCCTCCTCCTCCTCCTATGCTTAGCACGCTTGCCGTTTCACCCCATTGTCTAGTATGTCTCACAACTTCTGCCAAAGCACGTATGTTGTGCATGGCGTCTGTCTGTTTGTCTGTCCTCCCCCTTTCCCCTTACCCTGGGGCCCGAGCTCGTCAACGCCCCCCCGGGGTCTCCAGAGCCTCCAGAAAGCCCCAAGACGGTCCAAGAGGGCCCAGGCAGAGCGCCAAGACAGTTCAAGAGAGCGTCGAGACGGCCCAAGGTAGCCCCACGACGATCCGAGATGGCTTCAAGACAGCCCACAAAGACCCCAAAATGGCCCAAGAGTGCTCCCATAGGACCGCAGAGAGGGCCCCAAGAAGCAAACATCGCGCCATGCCCTTCAGAAAACGTACAACTTGACCACAATCGTCTATGATGGCCCCAGGGGCCCCCAAGATTGTCCCAAGACGGCCCATCGGGGCCCCAGCGGCCAACGACACGGCCCAAGAGAGCCCCATGAGTGGCCCAACAGAGCCCAAGAGGGAGAATACGAGCGAACATTTCGAGCCTTTCCCGCCAAGATGGCCCCAAGAGCCCCCCAAAGGCCCCCGTGCCACCCGCCAAGAGGCCCCAGGAGGCCTCCCCAAGAAGCCCCAAAGAGGCCCCAATAAGTCTGCCCAATGCCCCAAAAATCCCAACTAGAGGCCCGTACTGTCCCTCACCCCGTACCCCGACCCTACGGACCCGCAATCCAGATCAACAAGACGGGGCCATGCCCCACAATACTACACGCGAAAGCCCCGACGTCCCGCCAAGAAGTCATACAGAGCCGCGTCGAAGGCGCTCAAATGCTAGCAAGAGTCTTCGAAAAGCTCCCCCCAAGAGGCCCGCAAGAAGCACCGCGACGTACGCCAAGTGACTTAAAAAACTGCCCCGGCGTCGCCATCCTCATCACCCTCGTCCTCCTCTTCCTCCTCTTTTTTCATTGACGCCCTCCTTTTTCTGGGGGTCGTCGCAATGGCGTAAGCCACTTTAATAAGGGACGGTAAAGAAGGAGGCGGTAAAGCAGGAGGGAAGCTCCTGTTCGGCACCACAGGAGCCTGGGTGCCCGAGGAGAGCCAGGAGGGGCCACCGCAGCCTGACCCAAGGAACAGCGAGCCCCCTCCCGGACCCCAAAACGGTCCCCTTGGTTTCGGCGCCTCTGCCCGCGCGAGGCCGGGGTGGGCGGCGTCGGTGCCTTTTCCTCCTCTGAGCTCCACCATCTGGCCGTTCCCCAGCTCGGCGGCGCGGTGCAGCGGGTAGCTCTTCTGGAGCAGCCTGCGCCTCGGGGCGCTCACGCCCGCGAAGCCCTCCGCCTTCAGGAAGGCCCCCACCTGCGCGCGCCGCTCCTGCGCCGCCAACGCCTCCGCCCGCTCGCGGCGCTCTCGCTCCGCGAGTTCCGCCTCTCTGGGGCGACTGGGCATCGTTGAACCGACCCCGATGCCCACGGGCGTGGCCCGGGGCCCCACTGGCCGAGTTACCCCCCCTAGATGGGAATATGGGCTGTTCGAGGGGCATATCCCCAACTGGGGTGGTGGGATGGTGAGGATCTGGATGGGGATGAAGATGGGGATAGGGATAAGTTGAACCGATATGAGGCTGACGGACAAAATCCTGCACCGCCATCGCGACCAGGGTGCTGGCGCGAACTTCAACGCGCCCCCCCAGACCCCGGTTCCATGCTGCTTGGCCTCGCCAGCGGGGTGCAGGATTTCGCCCAGTCACTGGACAGATCCACATATCGCGGCGCAACCCGCCAATATTGAATGCGGGGCGCGGGGGGGATCACACACAAATCAGCATGGAAGGTGCAGGATTTTGCCCATCCACCATACCGCCGCTCCCCGAACCTCTCCCATGGGTGCGCTCTTGGAGGCCTCCCGGATAGGGTCGGAGGAGATGGGGTCGGAGGATCGCGCCGCATTGTCGGCACAACGCCGATTCATCGGCGTCGTCGGCGATGCGTCGGCGACTTCGGGTTGGAGGAAAACGGGCTCCACATCGAGCCGCATCGCCGATGCACTGGCGATGCGGCGCTGTCCTCCGACCCCATCTACTGCGAACCCGTCGGTTGCGGCATGTACATCTGTGTCTCTCTCTTCTACGTTCTACGGGCACAAGCAATGGCATAAAGACGCAAGCTCTGAGGTCCGCGCAGATCCCCGCGGATCGGCGCCGGGGTTCCCTGGCGGCGCCTCCGGCGCCGCCCCTGGCGCGCCCCCGGGGTTCAGCGAGAACTCCGCGCGGGCCTCCGAGTTTCTCTGTATGCTCCTGTCCCTGCTTGCTCCCCGACCTCCCTCCACCCGACATCGTCGCGGGCCGCCGCCTCCGTGCGCGCGCGGGCCTCTTCCTCCTCGAGGCGCGCGAGGCGGCGCCGCTCCTCCTCCTCCTCGGCGCGGCGCAGTTCCGCGCGGCGCCGCTCATCCTCCTCCTCGGCGCGGCGCAGTTCTGCGCGGCGCAGCTCCTCTTCCTCCTCCTCCGCCCTGCGGCGCTCGTCCTCCTCGGCGCGGCGCTGGGCCTTGTTGACGGGGGGGGCGACAGATGCGCCGATGATAGCAGCGACGACGCTGACAGCGACGACCGTCGCTTAACGGGGGGCAGAAGGGTGCACCTCGTGCGCCCTAAAGGGGCCCAAAAGGCGCACGAACGGTGCACGTGTCCCCCCTCCCCCTCTCCCAAAGTATCGCCCCCTCATCCCGCAGCGCCCGACCACGTCTCGATTTCTCCGAGCCGGGCGTGTTCGCCCGCTTTCGGGCCCCAGGGACCCTCGCGGATCGATGCGGCTCGAAGGAGGGCGCAGGAAATCAAGAGGCTACGGGGCTCTGGTCGTTCTTGGTCCACGATGCCCCAATTTTCTCGCGACGTCGGATCCCAGGGCATTCCCTCAAGGGCAACGCTAGAGAAGGGTAGGCTCAGGGGGGCGCAACCGTCCACTGATCGCCGATGAGGGCCTGGTAGCCCACCCCGCCCAGGAACGTGCGGATTCGGGGCCTCTCGCCGATCCATTGACGATGTCTCAAGTTTCTCGCGACGTCGGATCTCTGGGCCTTGGCGGCGCGCACAGAGGGGGTGGAGGGAGGCTTTTTGGAAGGAGGCTGCTTCCCAGAAGGCGCTGGCCTTACATCTACAGATTCGTGCCCACGCCTTCTAAGTAGGGGTGCCTCCAAGAAGCCCTCCCCCCTCCCCGCGCCCCCATCTGCGCGTGGCTGACAAGTTTCTTGCGACGTCGGACCTCAAAAACACTAAGGATAGGAATCCCCTCAGAAGATATATCAAGCCAGACCGTCCAGATCTGTTATCCCTGGTGCAAACCCAGCGACCTACGTTAGACCTCGTCTTCATTGTGTCATTCGAAGAGGAACAAAGAACGTGATTAACATAATCTATGGGAGGTCCGCGCGGATTTCTTGGCTCGGCGCTGCACCCCCTGGAGCGCGCCAGGTGCGGCGCCAGAGGCGCCGCCAGCGGGTCCCCGCGCCGATCCGCGAGATCAGCGCGGAGATCCGAGACATCATGTTTACGCAATTTGTCTTCGACCCTTATGCTAGGGTGTTCTCTTAGGATCAGGGTTCTTTCATGGGGGAAACCAGACAGGTACGGATACCGCTACTCCCCCGGACCTCTCCCAGAGTGCGTTCCGACCAAGACTTCGAGGCGAATCCAGCGGAGGCGACGAGGGCCTCCCGGGCCGGGTGGCCCGCGGACGGGCGAGAACGAGGCGAAGGTAGCCGCATGGGTACTCTTCCTCCTCCGAGTGAGGTGCCCTCGATGCTGCGGGCCTCCTGCTCCTCCTGCTCCGCCGCCGCCCGCTCGGCGCCCGGGGGCTCTGGCCCGGCCGGCGCCGGGCCCGCCGCGCCCAGCGGGAGGTCGATGCGGACCGTGTCCGTCGCGGGGTCGCGGCCGCCGCAGATGCGCTCGCAGGAGAAGAACATCGGTGGCAACGGTGGGGCGGCCTCGAGATCTCGACTGGGGGATCGACTACAGAATGGGTTTGCCCCGAAGCTGATTTTGTCCGTCGGATCTGCGAGAAGTGCGCAGAGTGCTCCGTAGATCCCTAAGCATCCTGCGCATTTCTCGCAGATTCGACAGAGGAATCAAGTCTGGGGTAAATCAATTCTGTAGTCTCGGCGGTGGACAAACCTCCCTTTAGCAAACCTCCCCTTAGTGAAGGCGGCCTGGGACCGAAACCGACGGACATGGACCCGCAAAAATGACGACCGCGACGCCCTCGAACCGAAAAATGCCAATTCCTCCATCGACGTGTCAGGGTAGGAGGTCCCTGACCTTCCAGAGAGCTATGTTGTAGCAATGGAGACCTGAAAACCTAAACAGCGGAGCGAAACTGCCTAAAACCAAGACGTAAACTAGCCCTAGGATAGGCTTTTAGGTCGGGTGCTATTCTTTAGCCCTCCTGGAAGGTCAGGGCCTATCCACCTCCGATAAGTCGATCCCCTGCTCGAAGATCGGCGGCGCGCCGGGGGGGGGGGAGAGGCGAGAGAGGGCCGGGCCTCCTCAGCAGGCTCCGAAGCCCCCCCCGGGCCTCCTGAGAAGTGCCCACGGTCTTCCCCGGAGGCACGGGGAGCTCCTCCCCGGGCCTCCTGAGAAGTGAAGTCCCCCTTTCGGCCTTCCGAGAAGTGCTCGCGGCCTCCCCCGGAGGCGCGGGGAGCTCCTCAGAAGGCCCGAGGGCTTCCGAGACGCCCCGCCGGCTTCTGAGAAGGCCTGCTCCTCCTCCCCCCCCCCTCCTCGCTCGCCGCCGACAGGAGAAGGCGCGGGAGGCGCGCGGGGAGGCCTTCTTGGGCCGAGAGAGCTGTTGAGCCAGCCGAGGCAGGAACGCGTGTCGCGGCCACCGCCACCGCGCTCGCGGGAGGAGAGCAGGGCGGCCGGGAGGGCGGGGGGGCGCCGAATCGGGGTCTTCCAGAGAGCTATTTTTTAGCACTGGAGGCCTACAAACCTAAAAAGCTGAGCGAAACAGCCCAAAACCAAGACGCAGAATAGCTTTTGGATCGGTGTTTAAGTCGGGTGCTATTTTTGAGCCCTCCTGGAAGGTCAGGGAGGAGACCAGGGCGGCCGGGAGGGCGAGGGGGCGCCGAGTCGGGCTCTTCTTGGGGCGCAGCGGCCGGGGGCGGTCTCCTGGGCCGAGCGAGCTCCCGGGCCTCCCGGAGGGAGCTCGCGCGAGACAGGCTGCGCGGGGGCCGCGAGGGGGCGGGCTCACACGCGTCCGCCCCTCCGACGATCGCTGGCGTCCGATCCGGCCCTCCGACTCGATGCTGGTGGGTCCTACGGCTGGGAACCTCCGCGACCTCGGCCTTCGGACCTCTCGGCCCCCCTCCTTGGGGGCTGCCACCTCAACAGACCTCCTCGGCGGCCCCGGGGGGGGTCCTGGAAGCTGCTGCCGGGCGCTGGACATCCGCCGACCAAGGGGGTGACAAGCGCGTGAAACATTTGGGTGTCCCTCCCCCTTTCCCCCCGGCGTTGACCTAAGAAACCCTAAATAAGGAACGAGGCCCCTATTTTCGATTTCCTATCGAAAACCTGAGGAAAACCTGAGGCAAGCTGCGAAACAATTAAGGAACACGGAGCCCCTCCCCAACGAAAAGGGTTCCTTCTTCAGGGCCCCGACTGTACCCAGGGGTCCCGAATCCCGTCTCAAAGGGGGCGGAGAGGGGGGCGGGTACGAGCTCGTCGACGCATCCCTGGAGCTCTCCGGAGTCTTCAGAGAGCCCCCCGGGCAGAGCGCCGAGGCAGTCCAGGGCAGCGTCGAGACGGCCCAGGGTCATCCCGCGTGACAGTGGCCAAGGGATGGCTTCAAGAGAGCCCACGAGGCCCGCCAGGACGGCCGAAGAGTGCTCCCCGGGGGACTGCCGAGAGGGCCACAAGATGCAAACATCGTCCCGTTCCCAATGGAACATGTACATGTTCGACATATCCACCTTCTTCGCCTTTACAGCGTCGACTGCGGCCCAAGGGCCATCCAAGATCGCCTCAAGACGGCCCATGAGGCCCTCAAGACGACGCGAAGACGGCCCAATACAGCCCCAAGACTGCCCAAGATGGCCCAAGAGGCTCCCAGAAGACCCCCAAGAGGCCCACCAAAGCCAACCAGATGCCCCCTTGGACATTCCAAGAGACCCTCATATCCATCCTCCAGCCCATGGAGCCCACCAGGAACCGACTCGAGGCTCCCCAGAGCCTCATCCAGAGGCCCCCAGACGCCAACAAGCAACCCAACCCCATGACAAAACCTAACAGCCCCTCTTGCACCCGTGAACTCCTTCGTTCCCCCCTCCGTCCTCCTCCTCCTCCTCCTCCTCCTCCTCCTCCTCCTCTCCTCCTCCTCCTCCTCCCCCTCCTCCTCCTCCTCCTCCGCCTCCTCCTCCTCCTCCTCCTCCTCCTCCTCACCACCACCACCACCACCACCACCACCACCATCACCATCATCATCATCATCATCATCATCATCATCATCATCATCATCATCATCATCATCATCATCATCATCATCATCATCATCATCCTCATAATCAGCATCATCATCATCATCAGCAGCAGCAGCAGCAGCAGCATCATCATCATCAGCATCATCAGCATCATCAGCATCATCATCATCACCATCATCATCATCATCAGCAGCATCAGCATCAGCATCATCATCATCATCATCAGCATCATCATCAGCATCGTTCTCCCCCTCCGCCTCCGCATCCGCTTCCACATCCGCCTCCTCCTCCTCCTCGTGATTCTCTTCCTCTTTGTGTTCCTCCTCCTCCTCCTGCTCCTCCTCCTCCTCCTCCCTCCCTCCCTCCCTCCCTCCCCTCCTCTCCCTCTCCCTCTCCCTCTCCCTCTCCCTCTCCCTCTCCCTCTCCCGTCCTCGTCATGGTCATGGTCATGGTCATGGTCATGGTCATGGTCATCATCATCATCATCATCATCACCATCATCATCATCATCAGCAGCATTATCGTCATCGTCGTCATCATCATCATCATCATCAGCAACAGCATCATCATCAATAGCATCAACATCATCAGAATCATCATCAACTGCAACATCATCAGCACACGCATGATCATGACCACACTCAGCATCATCTGAATCATCCTGACTCCATCAACAGCATCATCATCCTCCTCATCATCATCATCATCATCATCGATATCATCACCATCACCACCACCATCATCATCAGCAGCATCAGCATCAGCATCGTCGTCATCATCACCATCAGCATCATCATCGTCAACATAATGATCAACATCATTACCATCACCAACACCGCTACCATCATCATCATCATCATCATCAGCATCAGTATCAGCATCAGTATCAGCATCATCATCATCATCATCATCAACATAATCCTCGTCACCATCACCACCATCAGCATCATCATTGTCATCATAATCACCATCATCATCATCATCATCAACAGCATGCTTTCTCCTCGGCGCGGGGGCGATCCCTCTCCCACGCCAACCAATTCTGAGCCTAAACGTCGGCAGAACAGATGGCACATGAGAGAGGGAGGACACTGGATATCCTCACATAATCTTCACACCCCCTCGCAAGGGACTTTCCTCTTTCGAAAACTGTGCGCCTGAAAATCCGCTCGACGTGAGCGGAATAGCCGTCAGGCTCAAGGCTCAAATCTTCACTCACCTCTCACTGCAACTTCTCAGAACACTCCTTGCACATGCGCCGCTGCTTCAAGCGACGCCCGACGTTGTGTACACCTTGAAGATACTTGCAGCTCCTCTCCGGATGCATCACTCGATCATCATCGTCTAGACGGTAAGCTTGAAAAGCTGTAGGGCCGTCTTTTTAGCCGAAGATTCGGGGCCAGCCCAAGAATTCAGACCAAAGCATCGGCACTGCGGACCAAACCTGCGCTCCGAAGAGGAAGAGGGGGAGCATGAGGAGGAGGAGGAGAAGGAGGAGAAGAGGAGGAGCACGAGGAGGGGGAGGAGGAGGAGGAGGAGCACGAGGAGGAGGAGGAGGAGCAGGAGGAGGAGGAGGAGCGAGGAGAGGAGGAGAGGGAGGAGGAGGAGGAGGAGGAGGAGGAGCACGAGGAGGAGGAGGAGGAGGAGGCGGAGGAGGCGGAGGAGGCGTCCTCCTCCTCCTCCTCCGACCCCTCGCGGGCGGGCGGACGCGCGCGCGGAGCGGCGCCGCAGGGCGCGGCCTGGCCGGAGGCCGCCGATGCGCAGCTCGGCCAGAGCCTGCGCGGCGGTCGACGGCGCGGAGCGGCGGGGCCGTCGGGCGTGCCGAGGGGGTGGGGAGGCCAACAATGAAGGGGCCCTGGGACACACAAATAAATACACACAAATATCTGGATTCCCCTATATTTTCCAATCGTTTTTTTTTTCTTCCCCCCCGCTTCCCATATTTTTCCATATTTTCCGGTGAATCGACGATTCATTGTGTCTGTGCGTTTTTTTCCCTCCTGAAGCGAGACGAAGCCAAAGTGAGCGTTCTTCTAGTCTTTTGGGTGACCCCAAAGGGGGTTCAGCTGCAAGGGGGTGGTGCAACAGATTTGAGGTAATGGTCTTGCAAGTGTACTGCGCCAAAGAACTGTACTGCATTGTATTGCAGGTAATGTATTGCACGCGAAAACCCAGCAAGACATCTGCGCCCCGACATGTATTGCACGCCCCTCGTGTATTGCAACCCCACAAATCTATTGCACCAAATCTACTGCACCACTCCCTTGTCGCTGGACCCCCTTTTGGGTCAACCCGAAATCTGCTTTTCGACATTCGACGGGAAGGGGTGGGGGAAGGGGGGGTCCGGCTCCAGACCTCTGCTGAGTGCAGCTGTTGCATGAGTGCGTCCTCCGGGGGAGGGTCCCCACCTGCTCGAAACAGTCGCCAAAAAACAGCCAAGATCTACTCCGTGGGGGGGGAAGGGGGGGTTTGGGGGCCCGCGCCGATCGGCAAAACAATGAATAGAAAACGATCACAAAACGAGGATGGATTCGGGGGAGGATGCATCGAGAATCTCTGAGATCCGGCGGCTCTGGAGGAAGTACGGGGCGCCGCTGCCTTCTCAGAGCGTTCCCGAGCGCCCTGCGAGCGTTCCGGAACGCTCTGGAACGGACTTATCCTCGTCCTGGCCCCGCCCGATCGGAGGTCTTCTGACTGGTCTCGAGCGTCTCCCTATCCATAAGATGGACAAGCCTTAGGGATGCGTCCTCATAAACTGAGGGGGCCCTTCAGATCGGCATCGAGATCAGGTGATGCCCATTATGGGGATGCGGCTACGTTTCATGCAGTTAAACCCGATTAAAGGGCCAGTGAGCCGGATCAGGCCGGATTGAACTCAGGTGATTAAGCTGGAGCAGGGCGGACTAAGCGGGATTACACCGAATTGAGCAGCGGGATTCTGCCAGATTTGGCTGGATCCCGAACACGGATATGCCAGCGCCGATGCTGCATTTAGGCTCCCAGGAGATGCATCCTCAGGTTAGGGCCAAAAGGGGGCGAAAGGACGATCGCGATGGACGGCAACTGTGCAGAAGGAACATCAGATTCGGACGGTCTCGACCCCTGACCCCCGCCCCGTGATGCGCCCCTGCGCCTCTCCTGCGCGACCCCCGATGTGACCCGAGCGGGCCCTCGGAACAGGACCTGCAGGCGGGGCAGGGAGGAGTGAGAGCCTCGGCCTACGGCGGGATGCTGGGCTGCTGCCCTGCCACTGGCCACCCGCACATCACCACCCTCTTGGCCCCCCCCCGTTTCCGCTCCCCGAGGACGTCAATAAAAAACTGGCCAGAAACTGGCCCCAGGGTAAGTAGGGGTCGGGCCCCCAAGAAGCCCCAGGAAGCCCCGAAAAGACCCAGGATCCCTCCTCGAAGCCCCAAGACGCTCGCAAGAGATATCCATAAGCGTGTGAGATGATACGTGCCGTCCCACTCGACCCCTCCCGCTCCCCTGAGGTCCACTGAGGTCCAGCGCCTTGCCAGAGGAGGGAAGACTCCGGGGGGGCACTTGCAAGGAGATCCGAGCCCCAAACGGCTGAAACCCAACCCGTCATGTGAGACATTCCAGCCCCTGACTCGCCCCAGCAGTTTCCAGGGGAGGAGCCTCACTTCGTCTGGAGGTCGGCGGAATCTGAATGTGGAGTGCCCCTCCTCTGTTTGTGATCCCCCCCTTTGTGACCCCCACCCCCCTGTCATGAAATATGGAATGCCCCTTCCCCCCCTTGTCGTCTGGGAGGTTTGAGACCCCCCTCCCCTCCCTTTGTGACCCCTCACTTTGCTTCTTCCCGCCCCCTTCTCTGATGAAATATGGAACACCCACTCCCCCCCCTCCCCTCCCGGGCCGGCGGCGTGGGGCCATGTCCGGCCCCGAGCCCTCCGCGGCGACGCCTGCACCCGACGGCGGGGGCGGGAACGCCCCCGCAGCGGAAGGGCTGACGGGGTCGTCGTCGTCGCCGCCGCCGTCGTCGTCGTCGTCGTCGTCGTCGTCGTCGTCGTCGACGTCGTCGCCGTCGTCGTCGTCGTCGTCGTCGTCGTCGTCGTCGTCGTGCGCCAGTTGGCGGTCGCTTGTCGTCGGTCGTCGGTCGCTGGTCCTCGGTCGTCCGTCGTTGCCGTCGACGTCATCCTCCTCCTCTTCCTCGTCCGCCTCCTCGTCCTCATCCCTCCTCTTCCTCCTCCCCGCTCCCTCCTCATCCTCCTCCCCGCTCCCTCCTCCGCCGCGCTGAAGAGGGCACCGAAGAAAAGGAAGGGGGGGAGAGGAATTGTTCTACGGATCCTTTTGGGGTCCCAGGGGCTCAATGGGGTACTATGGGGCTGGGGATGTGGGGGCAAACGAAGACGAGGACGAGAAGGCTGAGGAGGATGGAGACGGGAAGTGGAAGGATTGAGGAGAAGGCGCAAGACGAGGACGAGAAGGCTCAGGACGAGGACGAGGGATGAGGAAGGAGGGGGAACATGCCCGTGGTCCAGGGGTCTGTAGGAGGTTATACGGTGTCGAAGGGGGCACCTAGAGAGCTCCAAGCACCGAAGACGAAGAGGGGATGGGCGCCAAAGGGGTGGAGGATGCTAAGCCTGGAGTCAGGCAGGACTCAGATCAGCGCTCTGGTGCCGGCCCAGCTCGCGCCCAGATCGCGGTGCTCGAGCTTCGACGCGGGGAGAGGGCGAGGCAGATGACGACAGATACTGCGAGGTTCGAATCGGTTCAGCCCGGGCCCCACGGGTGCCTTTGCCGAAGCAGTGCTGCACTCGACACCTGGGCGTCGCCTACGCGAGAATCGGAAGTTGACCAGATCGGTATCACTGTCAGGTCGGGCATGTCCTCCTACAGGCGGAATTTTGGGCGAACAAAAAAATAGTCAAACAATGTTCAAACAATGTCAAAAGTAGTCGCGCAAATCGTCCCCAGACTATCTTTTGACTATTTCTGAATAGTCCTCCTGTAGAGGGACAGGCCCGACTCCATATTACTGGCGGCCCAGCCTCTCGGGCTCGGCCTGGAGACAAGGAGAGGGGGGGAGGAGGACGTGCCTTGAGCGAGCACCGAGAGCAGAAACGTCCGAGAGTGCTCCTGAGACAAGAAGAACAAACACGCGTGCAGGGGAACGAGGAATGAAACAAACATACAGACTCAGAAGTCCGCGCGGATTTCTCGGATCGGCGCTGGGGCCCCCTGGCGGCGCCTCCGGCGCCGCCCCTGGCGCGCTCCGCGCGCCAGGGAGGGGGTCCAAGAAATCCGCGCGGACCTCCGGGTTTCTATGTTTATGTAGTTGTTCGTTCCCCTCGAGACGCATCGGCAACGTAAAGAGCACGCTGCAGCTGCGAAAGAGGCACGGGAGCACGCTCAGAGACGACTGCAAGCAGCGAGTGGCTGGGCAAGCAATTCTGGACTGCAGCGTGCAGCGTGTCGGTCCGGTGTGCCGGACGGGCACCGGCTCAGGCGAGATTCAAATCACCATCGACTGCGTGCAATTGCGATGAGGCAACTGCTGGGCAGTCAGACCTGCGAGAGAAGCCTGAGGGGCCACGAAAGGGGGGGGGGACATCGACCCTCGATACCGAATCCGCACGCTTCTGGGCTCTGGGCAGGGTGGGGCTATGGGGCCCCATATCGGCGATGCATGGTCGTTCGGAAGTCGAGGTATCGTCCCCCCTAACGTTGCCCCTGATCCGAATGATTTCTGGGTTATGACTCCAGCCGTGGGCTGCCTTTCGGGACGGTCCAGGCACTCCAGGAAAGCCCTCGGCGAGACGCAGGCGCTGGAGAGCACCCCGAGGCTGGAAAGCCGCCGAGAACCGACGACAAAGCCCGAAAACCTCGGACCTCTCAACCATTACTAAGGGGGCCCAGGGTCACACCAATAAATATACACAAATCCCTGGATTCCCCGCATTCTTCCGCAGTTTCTGGGCTCTCTGCTTCCCCTCCACTTCCCACATGCTCCCCCACGCCCCTGGGGATCGACGATTCATGGTGTCTGTGGTTTTTGTCTGTCCCCCTCCTGCATTACGCTGCCCCTGCTGAGCAGCCAGGGCTAGGGCGCTTCGAGGTCTGCGCGGATTTCTCGGATCGGCGCTGGACCCCCTCCCTGGCGCGCGGAGCGCACCAGGGGTTCGGCGCCGGAGGCGCCGCCAGGGGGCCCCAGCGCCGATCCGAGAAAGCCGCGCGGACCTCCGAGCTTTTATGTTTGTGTCATTCCTCGTTCCCCTGAGGGCGGCCGCGGAGCGATCGGCGCCGGCGGGGCCACGCGTGTAGCGCTCCACGGAGCCGTCCTCCTGCGCGGGCCGCGGGCGGCGTGGCGCGTGGCGCGTGGCGGCTCCGCCGCGAGGCCGCGGGAGGGCCCGCCACTGGTGCGCCCGACGCGAGGCCTCGGCGCGCCCCGGGGCCGGCCGGCGAGGGGAGGGCGCGGGCGAGGGTTGCGTTTTGGGAGGCAGCCGCTGGGAGGTCTCCGTCGGAAGGACTGGGGCGGATGGAGCCCCATCTGGGGGGCCGTTGCGCCGGAGTGGGCCTCGGATTCAGCTGGGTTCAGCGGGAGGAGGCCAGAGCAAGCAGGATTCAACCGGATTCAGCTGGATTTCGGACCAGGGCAAAATCAGAATTTGACCTCCCAGGAGTTGCATCCGCATCTGTTGCTCCCATCATACGTCAGGACCCCATTCCATAAAATGATTTCGAGCACCCAGAACAATATCGAAACGGTGTCGAATGAGTATCGCCTCCCAGGGCCCGACACGCGAAAACCCTCCAGTTTCGAAACTTTCCTGGTGCTCGAAATGCGTTCTGGTGATCAAGGCTAAAGTAGGTTGGGACAATCATAAGGCGAGGGGGGTTCAGGGCGCCTTGGGCGCGAATTCATGGGGGGCGATGCAGCAAGCTCGTGCAGTGCCGACCTCTGCGTTGGTCTCTGACACCGCGGGGGGATCGTCCCACCCTCAAACATCGGCCGCTTCCCAAACTTCAGGTCGTTCAGCATCCACCGACTCCGGGTCGCCAGCGGAACTCACCGTTGAACGTCCGCGGCGGGGTCGCCGCTGGTCGACACGACGCGAGCCTACCGTAAATGGGGGGGGGGGGGGGCAGCCCGGGCTGCAGAACAAAAACCCTCTGGGGGCCCTCAACGGGGCCCTCCCCAGGGGGGCACGGAGGGCGCCCCCGGGGCCCGGAAGGGGCACCTCTCTGCCCCCCCTCCGTTTCTCGACCCCCCCCAGTGCTGCGCGACCCCGCAGTACTGCGCCCCCCAGTGCTGCGCGCCCAGCACTACTGCCCGGCAAGTGTCCTTGCATGGAGGGGGGGGGGATGAGGCGAGGCCCGAGAACATCTCTCCTTCTTTTTCTCCACCCGACAAGTCGGGGTTGGTAGCTTCCGAGAGCAGGCTCCCCCCCGGCCAACCCCGCCCTGCATACCGCGGCCGCCAGACCCCAACTTGTCCTCGGCGAAAACAACAGAAGACAACATAACGTAGCATAACCAAGCATAACATAACATACCTTGACATAACATATCACACCATGACACTGCATCACATAACATATCATAACATGGCAGCAGAGCATAGCGATGACGAACACGACGGAACACAACATGGCACAACACACCATGACAGAACAGAACACGAGCATGACAGAACATGGCAGAACATGGCACGGCAATGTCATGACAAAATGAAGCATAACTGAACATCGCATAACATACAAGAGCAGAACATGACAGAACAGAAGACGAATCAACACGCAACAATGTAACATAACCGAGCACAGCATAACACACTTCGAAAAAACATATCATATCTTGACACAGCATCACATAACATATCATAACACGACAGCAGAGAATAGCGACACAAACTAGCATATTTTATCATAGTTTATCATGCAGAGCGGAGCCGTCAACAAACATACTGTTAACATACCAGAACATAGCAGAGCGGAACATGGCACAACAGAAGACGACACAGCACAGTATAAGAGAACATAGCCGATCATAATATAACACACCTTGAAATAACATGTCACACCATTTCACAGCATCGCAGAACATATGATAACACGACAGCAGAGCATGGCGACGACAAACACGACATAGCACACACTGACATAACATAACATGACAGAACAGAACACGAGCATGGCAGAATCTGACAAAACATAGCAAAGCAATGTCATGACAAACTAGAGCATAACATAACATCACATCACATCACATACCAGAGCAGAACATAACAGAACAGGAGACGGCATACTACAACACAATATTCCATAACCTACCATACCTTAACATACCTTGACAGAACCTATCATATCATGGCACAACATCACAGAACATACTTACGCAGGACGAAATATTTTCCTCTTGACGTCGAAGAAGACCACCCCCGTGTCCCGTAGAATCTTAACACGGGAGGGGCCTGCGGTCAACGGATCCCATTCTTGTCGGTTCCCGGAGCGAATTTATATTATAGATTAAAAAAATAGAAATGAGAGCCACCGTAAAAAAAGGTCCGACGCGGATCCCGAAAATCAGAAATGGGTTCCGCGCGCACGGAAATGGGATCCGCCGCGATTTCACGAATACGGTAAAGTTGGAGATCGGATCCGTGCGACCCTCATTGGGTTCGCCGCTATGATTTCCCAGAGGGCCCGTGCACCGCGTGGGACCGTGAGGTTCAGCGCCAAGAGGAAACAACTTTCGGGCTGGGGATGTACCATATCACTACATCAGAGCATAGCGACACATACTAGCAGAGCAAATCACAATATACTATACAGAGCCGAACCGCCAACAAACAGAAAAAAACAGAACATACCAGAGCAGAACCTGACAGAACAGAAGACGGCACACCACAACATAACATAACAGATCCGAGCATACCATAACACACCTTGATAATAATAGTGAGCCGAACTGTCAACAGCATCACAAGACATAATCTACTATATTGAGCCGAATTGTCGTCAACGGCATCACAGAACATATAATACTATAACCTAACTTGACACAACATCTTATGTCATAACATAGTGCCACCAAGAATACCATGCCATAACATCTCAAAACACATGGTGACAGAGATGAGCATGACATAACATACGCGATGGATACACATATGAGTGAAGAGGAACCTCATAACAGACGACGCATCTAACGTCACAAGCGTCACGACGTCACGCCGTCCCGTCGAAAGCAAAACAGGACATACTGAAGCATAACCTGAAAGAGCGTGACTACATGGAACAGGTTGAACCATTTTTGAATCCAGAAACGGAAATTGTGCAGTAGAGAGGAGTACCACGACAGAAAAGGACAGCAACATATACGACCATAACAAATCGTACTATACTATACTGAGCTGAGCCGTCAACAGCATCATGAAAGAGAGCATATTATAACATATCCTGACATAACATATCGTGTCCTGCCTGGTGCCACAGAACGGAATATAGGATACCATACTAACAAAAATTGTGGCAAAAACGAACGTGACATAACATGCTTTAACGTACAAGATGACGGAAGAGCAGAGGGATACCAGAACATCAAAACTGTACGTACATGTTATATAGCTTGGCCACAGGAACCAACAGTCACAGCAATGAACGACTCGACGATGTACCTAACGTGACAAGCGTCACGACGTCACGCCGGCCCGTTGATATCAGAACATCACAGAACACAGTGTCACATAGCACATTGGGGCAACATCCTACCACACGCACGCACTCATTCTATAGCACAACATCACGTATGAAATAGCCACCACTCCACGCGTCACGACGTCACGCCGGCACGTCGAGAACATAACAGGACATGATAGAGCATCACATTGTAGAGCGTTATTACATGGAACATTGTGGAAGTGACAGGCGTCGCGACTTCACGCTGGTCCGTCGAGATCGCAACATCACAGAACACAGTATCACATACTTCATCGGGGCAGGATCCAACCAAACACACTATAGCACAACATCGCATATACAGTAGCCACCACTCCACGGCGTCGCCCAAACGTCCCGAAGTCACGCTGGCCCGTCGAGGGCATAACTGGTCATAACAGAACATAGCATGATATACCATTACCATATGGAACATTGTCGAACACTTTTGAGTACAACAACGGCAGTAATGGAGAGGAGTATCAACACTAAGAGAAGATATCATACTATCATATACTGAGCTGAGCCGAAAACATAATCACGGAACAGAGCAGACTAGAACATCGCCTGACAGAACATATCATGTCCTAACATGGTGCCACGGAGCAGAGCGATTCGACGACGTATCTACCGTGACAGGCGTCACGACGTCTCGCCGACCCATCGAGATCAGAACATCACAGAACACAGTGTCGCGTAACACATTGGGGCAGCATCCGATCAAACACGCTACAGCACACCATCACGTATACAGTAGCCACCACTCAACGGCCTCACCCAGGCGTCACGAGGTCGCGCGGGCCAGTCGATGTCAGAACATGACAGGGCACAGTGCCACATACTGCATTGGGGCAGAATCCAACAAAACGCACTACAGCACAACATCACGTATACAGTATGAGCATCGTTTAACCGATCCCCATCTCCACCAACGTGGGCTGGGCCCCACTGGCCCATTTACCCCCCTGATGGGGGTACAGGCTGCTCTCCTCGGTTTTCGAGGGGCATATCCCCAACTGAGGTGGTGAGACGGTGGGGCTCGAGATGTGGATGGGGATGGCGATAGGGATCATTTTAAACAACACTGACAGCAGCCACCGCTGTACGGCGCCGCCCCGTCGTCAGGCTCACCACAGGGACAAGCAGGCGCAGCAATGACCGACTCGACGACGCGTCGAACGCGCGACCTCTCCCCGCCACGCCTGCTCATCCGTGTCCTTGCCTCCTCCTTCCCCTCCTTCTCCTCCTTCTCCTCCTCCTCCTACCTCCTCTTCCCCCCCTTCCTCCTCCTCCTCGGGAGCCATGCTCTTCAAGTCTAACATCCCCACCCTGTCGGGGGAAGAACACCCTCATATATTTTTCACCCACCAGCCCTTCCCCACCCGACAGGCCAAGAACAGGCCGCCAGAACAACCCCACCCTGCATACCGCGGCCGTCAAGCCCCAAATTGTCCCGATGGTCCCGGGTATCCCGCCTCGCGCCCGACCAACCCCACACTGCATACCGCGGCCGCCAGACCCCAAAATGTCCCGATGATCCCCGAGTCCCGGGTGTCCCACCTCTCGCCCGGCCAACCCCACCCTTCGTACCGCGGCCGCCAGACCCCAAGTTGTCACGATGATGCCCGAGAGCCCTTGGTGTCCCGCCTCGCGCCCTCGACGAACACGACGGAACACAATATGACAGAACATGACATAACATAACATTACAGAACGGAACAGAGCATGACAGAACAGAGCAGATCAATGCCATGACTAAGTAGAGCATGACAGAACATCACATACCATACCAGAGCAAAACATGGCATAACATAAGACGACATATCACGACACAACATAACATAACCGAGCATACTAGAACACACCTTGACAGAACATACCATATCATGACACAGCATCACAGCAAATATCATATCACGACAGCAGAGCAAAGCGACGACGAACACGACAGACCCAACTTGACACAAAAGCACATGCCAGAAGAGAACACGAGCATGACATACCATGGCAAGACAGAGCATAGCAATGCCATGACGAAAGAAGGCATGACAGAACATCACATAAAATAGCAGAGCAGAACATGACATACCAGAAGACGACACATCACAACATAACATAACATAGTCGACCATAACAGACCGCACCTTGACAGGATAGCTCATACCATGACACAGCATCAGGTCACAGACCATAACACGATCGCAGAACTTAGCGACGACGAACACGAGAGTACAACATGGCACAGCAGAACATGGCAGAACAGAGCACAAGCAACCATGACAGAACATGACAGAACAGAGCAAAACAATTTCATGGCAACACATGGCGTTACAGAGCATCACACAACATACCAGAACATGACGTGACATAACAGAAGACGGCATAACACAAAATAACATACCAACACCGAGCATACCATAGTACACCGTGACAGAACACATCATATCATGACACATCATCATCGAACGTATCATTCACGACATCAGAGCATAGCGACACATACGAGCAGAGTAGATCATTATATCCTATACAGGGCCAAGCCGTCAACAAACAGAACATCATAGAACAAGACAGAGCGGAACATTACATAACTGAAGACGGAACAACACAACATGAAATACCATGTCCGAGCATAGAACACCACACCTTGACAGAGCAGATCATATCACGACACAGCATCACATAACTACCATAACACGACAGCAGAGCATAGCGACGACGAACACGAAAGAGCACAGCATGACACACTAGAACATGACAAAAAAACACGAACATGACAGAACATGGCATAACATGACGTAGCAGTGTCGTTACATAACTGAAAATCGCAGAGTCTACAAGAGCAGAACATTACAGATCAGACAGCGACACAACACAACATAACATAACAGAGTCGATCGTACCATACAACAAGTTGACATAACATATCAGATCATGGCACAGCATCACATATCATAACACGACAGCAGAGCATAGCACTTCGTACTAGCATAACATGAAATGATACACCATACAGAGCCGAGACATCAACAACAAAAACATAACATAACATACCAGTGCAGAACATGACAGAACAGAAGACGACATAGCACAACATAACATAATATAAGCAATCGTACCATAACGTACGATGACAACATATGTCAGGTCTGGCACAGCATCACAGAACATAGCATAGCACGACAGCAAAGTACAGCGAACCATACAAGCAAGGCATATCATAATATAACATACTGAGCCGAGCTGTCAACCGCATCATGGAACAAATCAGACTATGAAAGAGCATGGCATCACAGATCATGCCATGACATAGTGTCACAGAGCAGATCCTGCCATGAGATTTCACATTATATGGTGGCAGAGATGAGCATAACATGACATGCCGCGGCATGTCAACGCCGACCCGAGAAATCCCAGCGGACCTCCGCGATGTTACGCTTATGCCATTCCTCGTTCCCCTGCTCGGAGCAGGCGAGCCTCCCGAGCGGGCGGGGGGCGCCTGGCCCTGGCCGCCGTGCCCGGGCGGCGCCCACGGGGCCCGCCTGCGCCAGGGAGGCCCCGCGTCGAGTCGGAGGTGGACTGCAGGGGAGGCCGGCCCACAGGAAGCCCGACCTCTGAGGCCCCAGGCCGTCCCTTGAGTTCTGGCGTGGGAACGTCACGCCGTCCCTCGCAAAGCCAGCGAAGCCTAAGAAGCCCAGGGCACCCTGGAGGCAAGCAGGGTGTGTCTTGGCATGGGCCTCCGCTGCGCAGAACTGGCTGACCCCAAAATTACCCGGATCCGCGAGAGTCGCGTATATATGTTGTACTTCTACGGACAATCGACGTATCCTTCGTGGATCCGGCGCATGGCTACGACCATTCCGCGGCAAGTCTATTCTGCAATCGATCTCCTGCTCGGCCACTGGGAGGCTGCCAAGGTGAGGTGCGCTCTCTGCTGATCTGTATGGTTGTGGATGCCACGACACTGGACACTCTGACAATCCTATGATTGAACTAAACATGTGTTCAAGATTTGTGAAGCATGTTCAAAACATGTTTCAGACATGGTTTCACACTCATTTTTAACACATGTTTGAAACATGCTCTAAGCAGCTGGAAACTATTTGGCAGCATGCTTCCTCTCCATTAATAGCCTTCCACAACCGTATCGGCCTCGCGTGCCCCTTGAAAGCCCTGGCTCGCTGGCTCAGCATCGACGGCCTGGCACGTTTCCTTCGCAGCAGGCGTGTTCACGATCCTCTCTCTTCAGTGCCACTGTGCCCTGGGAGCCACACCTCCCATTCGTAACCAGCGGAGGCACCCCGGGAGGCTCCTTGGGGGCCTCCCAATTCGCCGAAGCCAGGACGAAGATAGATTCGGGTGAGGACACATCGGGAATCTCTGAGCGCCGGCGGCTCTGGAGCATGTCTCGGGCGCCGCGGCCTTCTTGGAACATTCCGGAATACCGCTACTCCCCCGACCTCTCCCAGAGTGCGCCCTGGCCAGAATTCAGAGGCGAATCCAGCAGCTGCGACGAGGGCCACCCAGGAGGCCTTAAAGAAGGGAAAACGAGGGAAGGGTACAGGTACAGGCCTCGGGAAAAAATAGCGAACACTCATGCCACTTTCATCTGTGAACGCCTCCCCATCCCCCCCCATGTTCAAAGTTGGCGGTGGGTCTGATGAGTTGCATCTCGACCGCAGTCTCCCCCGCGCGTGCCAACCTTGAGTTTTGGGGGGCAGGGGGGGTGTTCACCAATCGTTTCCCTCTACCGTATGGCCCTCCTCTGAGAACCGACTCCAACCGAGTCGGAATCGCGGCCCCCAGCCGGCGGATCCAACCGCACCGAGGCAGGCGTCGGCGGCCCCGCGCGGGAGCCCGCGGCCCCTCGCGCGGGCGGCTCCTGCTTGAGCTCCAGCTGGTACGCGGTCGCGTGGACCACCTGGGGTCGCGCGGGAGGCCCGCCGCGCGCGCGAGGGTGCACCTCTCGCCGCCGCCCGCGCCCCGCGCCCCGTCCTCCCTCGCTCCTCCGCGTCGGGGCCTAACCTAAACGGTGTTTTTCGTTTTCGTCTTCGTTGTCCCCCGCTTTTGTCTGGAATCCGCCCTTACCGCAGCACGAAGTCGAAACGAAAACGGCCCACGAAATCGCCCAAAGCACCGTTCAGGTCATGCCCTGCTTCGCGTCCTCCCTCACCCGAGATCCAGGCGTTCCCGCTTCTTCGAGCCTGGCGCTGTCGCCCCGTCGCGGGACCCGGGACCCTCACAGATCGATGCGACTAGCAAAACGGCGGCGCAGAAAGATAGGGTCCAGGGCGCTCGCCGTGATGGTTCACGATGTTGTATATTTCGCTACGTCAGACCTCAGGGCCTACTCCACGTCACCGCGTCGTCCTTCCTCCCCCCACCTGTCGCCTCCCTCTCGTTCACTCCTTCTCCCGTCTCTCCTCCTCCTCCTCCTCCTCCTCCTCCTCCTCCTCCTCCTTTACCCTCCCCATCCCGCCTCATGCCTCATGCCTCATGCCTCCTCCTCCTCCTCCTCGTTGCCACCAGCATCAACAACATAGCATGATTAACATCAGCACAGAAAGCAAGCCCACCATCTTCACCATCACAATCATCACCATCGCCATACTCATCATCATCGATGCCGTCATCATCATCATCATCATCATCATCATCATCATCATCATCATCATCATCATCATCATCATCATCATCATCATCATCATCATCATGATCATGATCATGATCATCATCATCATCATCATCATCAGCATCATCATCATCATCACCATCACCATCATCATCATCATCATCATCAGCATCATCATCATCGTCAGCATCAGCATCCTGATCATGATCCTGATCCTGATCCTGATCCTCCTCATCCTCATCCTCATCCTCATCCTCATCATCACCACCATCATCTCCTTCAACACCATCATCATCACCATCCTCAGCATCATCACCATCATCATCATCATCATCATCATCATCATCATCATCAGCATCATCATCATCACCATCACCACCATCAGCATCATCAGCATCATCATCCTCGCCGTCGTCGTCATCATCAGCAGCAGCAGGAACAAGCCATCACCATCCTCGTCGTCGCTGCCGTCTTCGTCGTCGTGTTTCTCCTCCTCGTGCCCGTTTCCCTCACTCCCAGTCCCTCGTCATCCCCCCACTCCTGCCTCCTCCCCCTATTCCTACTCCTATTCCTCCTCCCCCTCCTCCTCCTCCTGAACCTGCTCCTCCTCCTCTTCCTCCTCCTCCTCCTCCTCCTCCTCCTCATCCTCCCCCCTCCCCTTTTCCCCGCCCCTCGTCCTTCCGCTCCTCCCTCGAGGCGTCGCCATTCATCCTCCTCCTCCTCCTCCTCCTCCTCCTCCTCCTACTCCTCTTCCTCTTCCTCCTTGCAGGCGGCCCTCCAAAAGCTCAGAACAGACAGCAGAAACGTAAAATCATGCTCTGTATACCCCAGGGGTGGGAGGAAATAAGGGGGGCGCAGGGGTAATCACGGGCACGAGGGGGACGGCGGGGATTGTGGCGGCGGAGCCTGCGCAAGTTTCGATGTGCGTCATCGACGACATCCATCCACGGCCACGACGACGACGACGACGAACGACGACGATATACTGGATGGGGCCTGCGAACGTCGCCACTGGTGCCTTCGGTGGAGCTCCCAATAGGGCCAGGAAGTTCTATACTGGGTGGGGGCGGACGCATACGAACGTCGCCACTGGTGCCTTCGGTGGAGCTCCCAATAGGGCCAGGACGTTCTGTACTGGGTGGGGGCGGACGCATGCGAACGTCGCTACTGGGACCTTCAATGGGGCTCCCTATGGAGCCACGAAGCGCTGCACAGGGTGGGGCGGACGCATGCGAACGTCGCCACTGGGACCTTCGGTGGAGATCCCTCTGAGGCGACGAAGCGCTGTACTGGGTGGGGCGAACGCATTCGAACGTCCCCACTGGGGCCTTCGGTGGAGCTCCCTATGGAGCCACGAAGCGCTGTGCCCAGTGGGGCGGACGCATGCGAA